CTCTCAAGTTTCTTTGTAAAGCCATTATTTTTCCACTAAAATTGCCTTGATACCTATATCGTATTTTAGATGTCTCATCTCTATATCTAACTTCAAATGCTACTTAATTAACATTTTGTTGGTTGTTATTGACATGTTCACTAATTCATTTATCTCAGAAGAATGCAATACACCTTTTTTTCCCTTTTCAAGCCATGTGCGTAATTCAGGGAATGAAATGGTACCCTTTTCTTCGGCTTTCCTTCATTTTGGTTAGCTAGACTGCAAGAGGTTGGGAATAGGTATTATAGTTCATTGATCAAAACTGCCTAACTAGGTCCAAATTCCCCAAGCTAGTCCAATATTCAACTTGGAAAAACTCATTAGAGAACATCAAAATCTCTCAATGTCAGAGGGTGACATGTAGAATATCAAAATAATAATAATAATAATAATAATAAACTCTATATTTTTTGTTCTGTTTTCCTTATTATAATTGTAAATCCTAAAAGAAAAGAGGATTGTCCTCTAGACAACTAATGTGGTAAGAAAATTAAAGATACCTGGAGATCTATTTCTTACATACTTTGTCATATTGCAGGAAGCTAAAAGTTGCTGAGTTATTATTATTATTATTTTCTTATAACCTATCAGCAATTCTTACCAGAGCATTAGTGAGCTTGTTGATAGTGGCAACCAGGCTTTCAGAGTGCTCCTTCCTTTGGTCCCTATCCAGTTGACAGTTTGTGTTTTGAGCTTGAATCTGCTCATTTAGCAGGTTACTATTCCTTTTTAGTACCTTGATCAATGGGTCTAGCCTTCCATCTTCACGTTCATCCAGTTTTGGCCGCCTACGCTTCAATCCTTTCTGAGTCATAGACCTTTTCCACTCACTCAAGGTTGGATGTTTTTCTTTCACTTTATCTGCAGCACAGAAGCAGAAGAATAGAAGGAACATTTATATGCTCTAAGTTCTTAGTAGTTAGTAGTGATTAATTATGAGGTATTGTGCCCAGTCATATCTTAAATCAAAACTAGGAGGTGAATTGTGCCCAGTCATATCTTAAATCAAAGCTAGGAGGTGAATTTATGTTTATTTAAATGAATGCATTAGCATGCATATTATCTTGCTGTTGAATGTTAATACATGTGATAAACCAAGTTGTTTGACCTAATACCAATAGCAATAAAAAAAGAGTCCTAACTTAGTAGTGCAATGAAGAACATTTATGCCACATTTTGTGCTGTTTATTTAACCCAAATGCTAGATTGAAGTCCAATAAATGAATATATAAAAATGAATCTTGAGCTTAAGATCGTAGATTGATAGATATTTAAGAAAATGCAAATCAGGGCTAAGCAATGCTTTCAATGATCCTAAGAAAGAAAAGCACAGAAGCTTTAACACATCTGAAATAGGAAACAGATTATTACTGTCTTCTTGATTGTCACGCTTGTTTTAATAGTTTCCTTCTCAGGTTCCTGCCCAGACTGTTATAGGGTGTTTGTGTCCACTATCAAAAACTGCTTCAAAAACAAAGCTTCATCTTGAGTCTCATGTTCCTCTGTTGTTGCTTCCTTTTCATCATCATTGCCCATTTCTGTTGTGGCAGTAATATGTGCTAGTGGAATTGCTGTCATGGCAAACTTTCTTCCATCCAAGGCATCATATACTTTTCTGTCAAAGAAACCAGGCAGCTTTCTCTTTCTCTTCAAACTACCAGTCCCCATTACCCAGAATGAATCAGCTTCCTCCTTTATCTGTAACTGCCAAGTTTTAATTTTGTTGTAGTCACAAATAATATTACTCCATCTTTTCCTGCCCTGCACAGGTTCTCTGTCAACACCATGCTATTTGCAATATGATGAGACAGAATCCCACTTTGGTTCATTCTGCTCTGATCCATAAGCTGAGGTAGATTGCACCTGGTTTTCTATAGCATTTTTTCCTTGTATGAGAACAATTGTCTCAAGTCTGGTCCGTCAAGGGTGTCTCTTTGTTTTAGTCCTGCCATTAGCATTATCAAGTGGCTGTGCTACTTGTCTTTAGGCTGAGATCTGGGAATTGGATGCGTCTCAATTGATTCTGCTACCATGGTAAACGGGCTTCACAAGCCACAAACCTCAGCTTATTGAACTGCAAAAATGTTCCAGGTTATGGTTCCATAAGATGGAGGGGTGAGGGTACAACTTTGAAAGCAAGAGGAGGAAGGCTATTTGAGATTGCTAGGGTATTACCGTATTAGTATATTAGCGGATTGCTAGGGTATTAGTATATTAGCGGGTGGCCTCAGATTAGGGCAGACTTTGTGTTCTTTCCTAACGTATTCTAAGAGTCTAGTAGGATATAAGACAGGCAAGAATTAGGGCAAAAGCTCTAACATTGTTTCAAGCGTCTTGTACCTTATATTCTTGCCATTTTTGCAGTGATTTTGATACCATATAGGTAACCCTGCCCTCCCTCTAAGACACCTACTCTCCAAATGGGGGATTCACTTATTTGGTCTTTGGACACCTAAATCAAATAGCTCCTTCCCCTTCTTAATTTTTTTTGTTTGTTTGTTTGTGAATGATTCTGTAATTATGGTGAGATAGAAGAAAACAAAAGGAAGCAAAGAGGGGGAAATATTCTCTCTTGTGTGGTGAGCAATAGCTTGCAATGCCAGGAAAAAGATGCCGAGATCCCTTGCTCTAGCTTCACCCTTTATACCTTGAATCTCTCCTCTCTTTCTTCCTCATTTGCTCCTTTTGGGTAAATACCAGTTGCTTTCTCTCACACTTTGCGTCAATTGAAGGCATAAAAGCTGCAGAATTTACGGGGTAGAAAACAGAATTCGAGGTTTTTGAGAGTGGTTTTTTTTTTTTGAAAGGTGCAATGGGTTCTGTTTTATTAGTTCAAACTTAGCTGCTTCTCATAGTTTTTATGTTGTGAATTGGGTTTTTTATTCTCAAGTTTCGATGTTAAGTTGCATGATTTAGGCTTTTCTTTTGTCTTTGCTTTACTGATCTGCTCAAAGGGTATTTTGGTTTTGTTGTTTGCTAAATGGGAATTGGGTATTTGAGAGCTGTGTTCTAAAGTAGAAATGATTCAGTTACAGAAATGCAGAGTTACTTTATACTGATCTGTAAGTTAAGGTTTTTCTTTTAGGTTGAAACTCTATGAGAATTTAGATTAACTACTTGGATAATTTTTGAAAATAAAGGGAAAGTAAAATTTGATTGTTGAGTGTTTATTTGTTGTTTGAAAATGAAAAATTCGCATAACTGAGAAACAAAAGTTTATTATTATATATGCACACTGCACACTGGTGGGGATTGATAATTAATTGCCTTTTTTTTTTCTCCTCTGTTACTATTGTAGGGTTTGTGCTTCTGCTTTCTTTCAGTTTCTTACCTTTTCTCGGAAACCAACGGGGAGATTTGTTTGTTGTTGGTAGGTAAGCTAGTGACTTTCATTTTTGTGATAGTATTAATTGAATTTGTGAAAAAAAAAA